CTAAATAGACGTCTCTCTCGAACCCGAGACCCTTGTTTCCGATTGCAGTACGAAAAACCACAGCATCAGCGAGTCTTCCTTTAAAACTGTTTGGGCATTAATGGAAAAAAAAAGTACCGCATTGACTATAATTATGCACAGTGTGTGACGCTGACCACAGGCGTGCAATCTCCAGCACGGCTTTGTATCTGTTACGTTTTAGGTCCCGTCTTTAAAACCAGCCGGTGTTAACCTGAAAACAATTTGGACTTTTCCGCTATAACAATTGCGTTGAAAATAACGAAAACCACGCAGCTCTCAGTTGTAGCTGCTTTACCACAATCTCGGCGCCGATTCGGCCTGTCATGGTATATGTACTCTTTTTAGCTGAACCCGATCAGACCATAAATTGATAATCCCACTAAGACAAGAAGACCGAACTTCTATGCACTGTGACAATCATCTGAAATAAATTGTTAAATTAAGTGTATCACATGCAGCCAGGCACGAAACTGGACACTGCCGCGAGCAGTCTTTCGTTACATGGGAAATCAACCTCTGAGAATGAAGAAACTTAATGATAAAATCTATGCACATCGGACACTCTGTGAACAGGTGCGCGCTTTTACGGTCCCCAGAGAGTGCACTGTACTGAAGCTCCTTCTCTCTTTTCAGTCCGGTAAATGCCACTCCTTGTCTAAGAGAACGTATCTAAAACACATTACTGGGGCAGTATCACGTGGCGGTCTGTACTCGTGTTAAACATTTACAGACCTCGACCAAATGTGCACACGCCATCTATTAACAGCTCGCCGTGCTGAAGAAAGTAAAAACATTATGAAACAAATACACAACGTTTCAGGTATTTTCGCCGGCTAGACCTCACTTCACTAAAACACACGCTTAGCTCTTTCAATTCCCATAGAGACGGGCTTCAAAACGGCAGCGTTCATGTGGGTTTCCTCCCACAATTCAAAGACATACTGGTAGATTATTTGGCTTCTGGGAAAACTGGCCCTAATGTGAGTGGTTGTGTCCTGTAATGTGCCCTGCAATGGACTGGTGGCCAGTCCAGAATGTATCCTCCCCTGTACCCATTGCTTGCTAGAATAGGCTTTCCCACAGCCATTCATTTGATGAAGCAATTAGAAAATGGATGGATGATCTGACCCCCAGCATGCAAATAATGACGTTTCAAAAGATTCATATCATCGTGGCATATGAGTAAATTTCCCTAGAACTCACTAGACAATGCTCCCATATGAAGTTTGGAATGCTTGATGCTTACTGAAAGACAACAGACTCATGGGCTAAACCGCACACCTAAAACAGACACCCACCTGGTTAGATCTGATACAGACCTACTGGGGCAAAGACCATCATCTTGGGCACAGTATTTCATAAGGAAGGGTAGTAATAATGAAAAAAAAAACATCTGATCTGTATACCTCATTTGTTTGCTAGCAAGTAAGTGATCCACACATCTTATGCAGAAATTTCTTCAAACAAGGTTTCAACTTCCCCTAAGATTATCCTCGTGTCCTTCGGTTCATGTCTTACTTATTGACCTTGAAAAAGGCCGACAGGCTGACTTTGAATAATGAATCAAATTCTTCTCCAGTCAATAAGCTGGCTGGGTTGTACGATCTCTGCGAAGGATCTGGCTGGATGGTCATCATGACTGTCAATAAAGTTCTGGAGCCATATTGGGGTCCAATAGATGTAGATTTATTTCTTCTGTCAGTCGGGAAAGGGCACAGCCTACGGAAATGTAAGTGACACAAAGTTAGGATAAGAAAAGAACAGAGCTGTCACACTTGGTCACACTCTCTAGATCCAGTGATCTGAGCTGCCAGGTGTGGGATGCTATTTTCAGGACACAGGCCGCACCACCGAAAGGCAAAACGTTACTCAGTGATGTTCGTGGCTTAAGCTTGTCGGCCATTCCAGCTTGGGCCTCTGCCAGTCTTGTTTGAGGGTTGTCTTGACCCAGCTGACTGCTGTTCTGAACTCTCACCCTTGAGCTGTGGCGTTCAATGTCCAATGTGAAATGTGAGGGCTCCACTGTAGTCAAAATGGCTCTACCACAGTGAGAGAGATGGTGGTCTGTCTCTAGTCTAGTCAATAACAGAGAAAGCTTCTCGCGAAATAAATCACGAGTAACTCTGAAACTAACGTAGTCAGATCACATAATGGGATTTAAAAAAATAAATAACCCTGAGGCTGTAATCAGCTTTAAAAACAAAGAAAATCCATATGAACCTCACCAACACTTTACGCAGTTCTATGTTTTTGATATGGACAAAAGCCTGGCCATTGTTTGCCCCTGTGGGGCGTTCAGTCTTTTGTCCGAGGCTGTGCTATGTACATCCAATCCTGCTAAAATGATAGCGTCACTTCAAAAGGGTGAAGGCTTATGTAATCGTTTTAATGCCTCTTTATCTACATAAGGGTCATTGTGGATTTCACATTGGCCTCGAAAGGGCTGGATCTCTTTGTCTGGAGAGCTCTGAGTTACACCTCCTCGTTGCCCAGGCTGGCCGAACCATTGTGTGGCACAATGCCACTCTCCGCCACTCGTCACTCTGAAGGGCGCCGCCTCCCTCAAGCAGCCCAGGTTGAAAGAGAGTAGGAGCCGCCCCCATTGATACAGAACAGAGAACATGTGCCCGTGTGCTGGCTGAAAGGCAGTCAAATACATTGAAACTGAAATGAAGAGGATGGCCAGGAGATGCACAGTACAATCCGGGGAGTGGGCTGTAAAATGTTTTTAGATGAATAATCGGCTATTCCTCCTTTGCTTTTTTATCCATCCATCCGTTTTCTAATTTGCTTTATCATATTAAGAGTCTTGGGGGAGCTGGAGCCTAAACCAACAAGCACAAGGCAGGGTACACCCTGGACTAGATGCCAGTCCATCGTAGGGCAAACACAGACACACTCACACCAGGGTCAATTTTACAGAAGCCAATGAACTTGCCAGCTTGTCTTTGGACTTTAGGAGGACGCTGAAGCACCCAGTGGAAAACTACACGAACATGGGAAGAAACAAAATCTACACCGACAGCACCCCTAGAGTTGAACCCAGGGCCCCAGCGCTGTGAGGCAGCAATGCTGACCTCTGTGCCACTGTGTTGTTTGTCTGAAAAATACAGTGAAATATGAAAATACAGTGGTCTCTAATGCAATCTTGAAAGACAGATTTATAAACCATTTCCAATTACATGTCTATCATCATTGTTCCACCAGAGAGACATCAAGATTTCTTAGGCCTCCTGAGGCCTAACTCTCCTGTAGGGCTGTGCGGAGCTCGAACAGTGTCAAACGATTAATGGTTCTGAACTGTCACAATTATTTATGCTGCTATTTAGAAAGAGTCACAAAGTGACTCACAGGTACCATTAAGCAAAGGAGCGAAGACTCAGGAATTATGCCTGTGGAGCTGGTGAATGTATGGTTTAGAAGCTCAGAGTGTATGGTTTACTACATCTGAAACAATGAGCCTCTCACCTAACTTGAAATGTGTTGTGGTATTATCATTCAGAGAAGCACATTTCAGTAACTGAGAACCGGCTGCATTGCACATTGAACAGTTGTGCAGACAATGAGCAGAACTAAGAACTAAGTTGTTCTTCTCCACCGGTAGCTGCGGATTCCCTTTAGGATTGTTCACCTGTTATTGGTTGAAGCCAACATCCTTGTGTCACATTCAGGACTGTAACCTCAGCCTGCTCAGCGATGTAGAGATCACGCCACGTGACCCCACAGCTCCTTCAGTTCTTTGCAACAAAGACAAAAATAGCACATGCCAAAGGTGGGCTGTATTATTTAATGATCAACCTTTCAAACCTGTTTCTGTGTAGAAAATAGGTTTGGTCCACTGAAGCCGGTACAGATGATTAGGTCTCCCAAAAGATTAGGAATGATAACATTTACACTTTGGAGCCAATAAAAGAATAGGGTGGCATGGGATAATACCTGCACTGTGAACACATCGAAAGCAACCCCTAGCAAGTGGAATGAAACCTTTAATCGGCAAGGAGCGTCTGGACTTTGCCACGGAGGGTTCAAGAGTCGGACTTCTCAACCGGAGAGAGAGGGGGAGAGAGCGATGGATTGGAGGAACAGGAAGAGAGATGGACTGCATGTTGGTAGCTGTAGCTTGATCATTGTTTCTTTACTGCCATACGTGTGTTTGCAGAAAAGCTTGAATGCTTGTTAACTGAAACAAAGCAAATACTGCAAGTTTGTCCAGACCTGCTGCAGCAATAAAGAGCTTGAAAAGCCTAGGGCTTGGGCCTGGGTGTTGGAAAGGTGAATGGAGAGGCAGTGATAATGGAGGAGGGCATTCTTCTCCCCTGTCCTACATAAGACTGCATCAGGGGACTCCTTGTACCCCGATTCTGTAACTTGCTCACAGAATTATGGACTGTCATGTCACTCAAGCCTTGGTTTATAGTGGTAACAGACACTGGTCTTTAGGACGACGCATCGATGAAAACTTGCTGCTCTTTCAATTGGAAACACAGCATTCGTTTTTGACAACTCTTGGATATTGAATGGGACCTTGTTCGTTACCTTAGTACACAAGAGATACTTTGACAGAAGTGTAATTTGGGCTCCCCGGCGTGTCTACAGTACTTACACCCGGCTCACTGATTGTCCTGTCAAATGAGCCATTCGAGGAGCACCGCCTTCCCAGGGCCAGGAAGTGTTTTGGGGAAGGATGTAAGCTCGGCATCCGGCTCAAGTGTGTAACAGTCTCGATCTTCCCCTGCTTCTAAAGGGACCGACTCACACTTCTGTTGCCTGAGGGGAGCAGAAACTATTTTGTGGGTGCAGATCAAGAAAGCGTGAGAAGAATTCAGATTTCGTTTTGCGTGGGACATACTTTCACAAATCTGGAAGCTTCCTTGGGGACAAATGGTCAATTGCTTGGAGACAAACACACACATATGCAATTAATTAATCGGTACTGAAAACTGCCCTGTTATATTAAAATCTTGTAGGTGTAGAGTTTGGGTTGATATACATCAGTCTCTTTAGCCAGGAGCTGAAAAGAGTTGGTGAGAATTTGTTTTGGTTAAAAGCCCACAAACAGATATAAAAACACCAGGAAAGCACAGATCGATATTGGTAAATATATATGATGTGTTTCTTCAGCCTGTAAACTCCCAATTCAGACAAATTCACTCTGCTCCCGAGCTCTTCCCCCGGCAGTCCTCTTGGTCGCTGCTGGTCAATCAAGCTCGAGGATAATGGATTTATTGAAGTTGCTGACCTTGTCTCCCTGTGAATGTCTTGTAGATGTAGGATGTGCTCCTCCCCTGGGGTGTCCACGCTGATGTTCTCCGCACCTGGTCTATTGGCTTGTCTGATGTGCCCGTGATGTGTACATGGCGTCACTGTGCAGCCAGGAATGGGCCCCGGAGAGGCCTCAGGAGTAACTGGCCCAGGGTCAGTGGTAACGTGCTTATATTCAGTTAGTCTGCTCCTTCTGTTGTGTCTCTTCTGCGGGCCAGGTGTCGCTCCTCACCCTTTCATCCCTGGCTCGTCTGGTTTTTACCTGAGGTTGCTCCCCGCCTGGAGCTCAGACAGACAAAGCAAAGGATGATGGGAAAAGGTTCCCAGGCCTTCATGACACCAGAGGATGAATCCCATGGGTTTCGTAGCCTGCCTGGTGTATCCATAGCTTCTTCCAAATTCTCTCCCTTGTGTTCTACACACACGCGTACGGAGCCAGACAAACACACACATACATAATGAAGTTAAGCCATCGGTCACACTTTCCTGGCTGTGATTAGCTTATCGATTCCAAAATTGCAGCCAGCTGTTTCTTGAACTATCCCGGCCCTGTGACTTCAGGGCGGTGTGATTACACTGTAGGCGTCTGCAGATGCCTCTAAAGAGAAAGAAATCAATGTGTTAAGATGTTATTATTGCTGTATTACCAGGAGGCATCATCACACTACTTGTCATCCGGGAAATAAAAAAAAATAATAATTTCAATTTTATTGTCAGCATAATGAAGCTGATTTGCAGGGAGACCAAAAAAACCTCATAATACCGATCAGCTGATCCTCTTTATTTTTATTTAAACATCATCACATTCCACCTGTATGCCTCTCCTGCATTGATCATGAATCGGTTTGCGCTACAGGCACTTCTGAAACTCCTCTCTTTCCCATCAGCGCAGGACCTTCTGACCCATCAGCGTTTCAGCTTTTTCTTCAGACTTTGCTCATGGGTGTCAGAGTGCCATCCTGCATGATCTACCACAGGTCTCGCTCGGTGGAGAGGGTGGGACTGCCAGGGTCTCGGAAAATGAATCAAACCTCTGAAGGACGTTTTCACCACGAAAGAAACGGAGGTTTTCGTAAAGACATTGAATCTGGCCACAAGAGCAAGTCTGTCCTTGGAGGAGAAGACTGTCGTGGATTTGAAGCCTGTTAATACTCGAGTACGGCCCAGGATTGGTTATGGGCTTTCAGGTGATGAATGAGCTGGAGAATAGCTGTGTGAGCACACAAGGAAGCTGGGATAGCTGTGACCTGAACTCTGTGGCTGACTGTTGATGATGTTCAGCAGGGTGCAGGGGCTTGCTCTGTGAAAGAAACAGAGTTTGGGGATCTGGCTGCAATGGACCTGAGGAGCTTTTTTAAAACAAAACATATATAACGTGTTTTTTTAATTAACATTACAATGCCTTAAAATGATTTAAAGGGTGACTTGTGGTCTTATCGCAGGTGGCATGTGTGTTGGTTGGATGCTGTATTTTGGCCCCCGATTTTGTCAAGCACAGCTTGTTTCATGTAATGCACTTGTAAGCAATTCTTGAGAACACCCTTTGAATTCATAAATCTGGAAGGAACAGGGATAATGGAATGGCTCAACACCATTATCTGGGTTTTTGGTTACGTAAGAGTATCTCGTAAACCTGGTGGAAATGAGAAGTTGTCAGGTTACGTGAACAAACTGGAAAGCACCCAGCCTACTGTTCCATCGGCACATCAGGCCCGTTTCTGTATGCTAACCAACATGCTGCAGTTTGTGATGTGTGCTTGTAATTGATAGCGACATTGTTTTTGTTCTCCCAACGAATGTCATAGCCTGAATGTTGAGCAACATGAAAAAGAACAGACTGGCGCTCATATTGGTAAAATAGCTTTCTGTGTAACCCTCTGCGAATTCATTGAGAATAGTACATACCCACACTATAGATCTTTATTTATCCTTTGTAGATGTTTATGAGAGTACTCAGAATATATTGCACATAAGTCTGATTTGAGGAGTGTTCATTCCATTCTGGCAGTGCATTGTAGTCCTTCAGAATTGTTTTGTCTGACTAGAAACTGCTTTGTTTTTACAGCACAGTGGGAAAAGCGTCTTGCTTTTAAAATAGTCCTCTTATGAAGTTTAAGTCAACAACGCCGAACAGCACAATGTTGCAGTTTCCTGCTTTTGAAAGCAATTTCCCGGGTGGAGACGGCAGGGAGGAGCTCCCTCCGGTGGCGAAAGGCTGCATCTGCAGGTTCCAAAACTTCGTCCTAGTGCCGCATGCAGTAATCGCACACACGTAATGAACAGCATCCCCGGGGCATCCTCTGGCTCTCGGAGCCGGTGCAATCAAAAGTGTTTCTGCGCCACCCTTTCGCACTTGCAATGCCAAAGCAACGACAAGGTTTTTAAATGTGTTTAAATTAGTCTTGAACGTGATACGTGTAGAACCACAGTCTTTTAACACCAGAGTTTTGTCCACAGGACATATGCTTATTTGCTCCAGCATTTAATCATGGCATCCTCAGTAACACTGCAATACACCACAATATAGCATATTGCCTGAAGAAGAAATGTCTGACTTTTGCAGAGGTTTCTATATTAGAATCTGCACAATACACAAGTGCCGAGTGCGGCGACGAACAGCTGGCATGACAAGTCCGCGACATTCGTCACCACGGGAGCTCACGGCACTTCCTGTTTCACAGACTGGACATCGGAGTCATCCAGGGAACAGGGGAAGCAGGACTGATAACTGCTGAGCGCTGTTTTTTTTTTTTCCCCTTCACATTCCAAGCGCTGCCCCGGCGTTCAGACCGAAGAGGAGTGAAATGACAACACAAGAGCCGGGTCGCCACTGAAAAAAGAAACCTTTTATTGAGATATTGCTGAGATTAAACAGTAAGTGGTTTGGAATTCTGGAGTCGCATGCACCCGGCAGCACAGCCCAAAACTAAACATCGCCCTCTCTCTGGATTGAGTAACTTGACTTTCCTGTAGGCCCCGCAGTGCCCCCCAGGCCTCTAACTCTGGGCCTGCCCACAACCGGCAGCCTGGCACCCCCCTAGTGTATCGGGGGTCACACCGATAAGGTCAAGCTCTTCCAATAGATCGAAAGGTCTGGTCTGACATATGAAAGTGGTCACTCCCCAGCTCCAGGCCGGCCGATAAAGACAGATGCGCGCAGATGAAGGAATTCATCTTTTTTGTGAGGTTATTTTGTACTTCTCCCATTTCAAGGACCTTGGGATGGCTCCGGCCCCATGTTTCTCCTGTAACCGAAGGAGTGCATATCGTTGTCTGGGCAACGACACTTCTCAGTAGCCCTAAAGGCACACCAAGGCCCCTCAGGGCTGTAGGCACACACAGCCTGGGCAACGGTTTGTTTGCAGTCCACCTTCACCTCTGCAGAAGCTGGCTACTTTGCGTAGAAAGACAGACCACATTTCAGTAGAGGGCAATAGAGTTGTTCTGTCCACAAAATATCAAAAAGGGCAACAGCATATTGTTCACGAACAGACCCGGTAGACATACGCTAATTTTCCATGTCAAACAGACAAAATCAGGCAGAAAAATTAAGAATAAGGAATAAAAACCGCAGCTGTAGGGGCGAGAAGAGTGTACTGCAAAGAGCATTCTTTGAAAAATCTGTTCCGGGAGAAGGAAGAAAGCACAAAAACAAACAAAAATGTCTTGGAAAAAAGTTTAAGCCCCAGACAGATCTGTTTGATGGGACTAAATCACTTCTTTGCATTTTCCTCACTTAAAAAAACTAAAGTGTGCTTTTCAATTTGCCGTTTACTTTTCAGAAAATACTTTTTGTTAAAAAAGGATCGCTGCGTGTCTCAAATAACACAATTGCATGCCAAAGATTACAGTGCCTGCATTTCTCGTTGTTTGCGGAGTTGTATTAAAAATGACAGTGGTGTAACTGGGAGAAAGACAAAAGTCTTATGCTCCCTCCCTCCCTCCAAAGGACAATTTTACTTGATTCAAGTTCCTCCACTTGGTAAAACAGCAATTCCTGATTTCTAAGACACCACAACTCTCCCAGCAGCAAGCTCTTTGTCCCATTTTTATGGTTCTGTTCTGCCAATCAGAACTGAAGAGCCATTTTCCAATTGGCGACACTCTGGTGACATTCTTATAGAAAGACAGCTCCTAACGATGAGAAGTGGGACTTCTAAACACCATTAAGGAGGAGAGAGTCAGGCAAATTTCTTCTTCAATTTTCAATCAGGGGTTTGAAAGCTTTGGAAGCAAGAACGCAAATTTTCACTATCTCATCTCGTAACTACCCAGACATTTCAGAGAAGTTGTTCGGAATGAACATGACAAAAACCGATTGGCACGTTCCTGGACAAAGCAGAGGTTTTATATGGTCTTACAGCTGTAGAAACTCCATTAAAACTGCAAACAGATTGGTCACAAAGAGATATCAATATCAGTAGACCCTTATCAATACCTCCCATTTTTGGGCAGGTCTGGTATTTAAGCTTTTTTCTTAGGTAGCTGCTTTATGTATCTCAGAAGGAGCACCACTTACAATAGCACATAACATTCACATGCAGGTAACTCAATATGCTAAGCCAAGCACATTAATAAGAAAAGGCAGACTACATCATCCTGAGATCCGGGACCTGCACATTCTCAATGGCAAAATCGTTATTTGCCTTGCCATTCTGCAATCCCAGTTTTGTTTTTTTAATTGACATTTCTGCATACACACCATGAAATATTTTCAAAATCAGAAGAAACCCGTAGCTCTGCTTGCACACAGAAAGAAACTTGAGTTCTTTTTCTGTTTGTTTTGATGAACAGCGGGAGCATTGTAAAATTCGACCCTATTTTCAAACTGATCTCAGGGCAAATTACCAGCTTGGATTTTGATCAAATCCCATGGGATTGCTGCAGTAGAAGCTGGTTTAGATAGTACTTATGATCAAAGGGCTCCTCTAAGCCCCATCACTGTGTTGGTGATGGGGTCAGCACTCCATTGCTGCAACATGTGTATCACGCATGAAGCTAAAGGCATTGGCAGACCGAACTAAAACCCTAATGAAGGTCCCACACGAGATGTTGTGCACCTTACTTTACACAACCCAGATGAACCGTGTTCCACGTTAATTCTGTGGTGTGCTTCCTGGCTCGATTTCCTGTCTTGGCATGGGAGTTGCTAAAAAAAGATTCTCAGTGGTAAATGAGCGCAGGTGGCATCCACATGCCTCAGCAACAGGGAAAGAAGGAAATGGCACGACGGTATGTTGCCCTTCCTGTGTACAGGACAAGACTTCGCCTGGATTTGTGAACTAGCATGGCAAATAACATGAGCGAAAATAGCAACTAGGAACAGTGAGGAACAAATTGAAATGAAATATGCAAAAACAAGTGGAACTTGAAAGCTGTTTCAGCTACTCTTTTAATACAAGTTAAACAGTTGAACAGTGACCTAAATCTACAGGTTCAGGTAAACTAGGACTCAGTCCACCTTTTAGAAATTAGTAGGAAAGTACTGGTCCTTTTTTATTTTGGCTACAAGAATGGGTTTTATCTGCTGTTGGTAAACCAATATTTTCTTTTCACAGATGAGCCAGCCGGCATCCACGGACTCTGCAAAATAAAACTCTACAACGAAATGGCCAAACGCAGATTTCACATTTTATTCACTTACATGGGGGCTGGTACTGACTGCAAAAGTCTGGTCTGAGGGTATTTTTTTTTTTTGGGAGGGGGGGGGAGTTTTGCCGTTTGACTTTTTCTTTTTTTTTAATTATTTCGACCCTTTTTTACCCCACCCCCCCCACCAAACCGATAACGGCTCTGTGCTGCACGCGCAGGGAAAGAGGAGGGAGCCGTCATCTAATATTCCAACCCCCCCCACCCGTTTCTCTCCCTCCGCCCGCCTCTCCCTGCTCCAGTCCACCTTTTTCCACCCAAACTGCCCGTGCTTTCCCCCTCGACTCCCGAGGTCGCGGGTCTCCTGCGTGGCTGGGGGCTGCCCTCCCTCCCGCTCCCTCTCTCGCTCTCGCCCCCCTCCTCCCCCGCCCCTCAGTGCTTCCTGTAGCGGTTCTTGGGCGTCTCCCCGCAGCCGGTGGCTTCGCAGGAGGTCAGGCTGGGGTTCTTCCCTGAAGCGATGCCCCCGAGCAGGCCGGGCAGCTCGTGGGTGATGGCCTTCTCGATCTTGTCCAGGAGGCAGCCGCCCATGTAAGAGCACTGGGCGGACAGCTGCTTGAAGCCGCCCACGGGGTTGATGCCGAAGAAGTCGCGGTAGGCGTCGCGGTTGGGGAGGTCGAACTTGCTGACGTTGGTCTTGGCCAGGATGGACTTGAAGATGAAGAACTTGTCGGGGTCGTCCACGATCTCCTTGAAGACCAGCTCGGGGTCGCTGAAGAAGGTCATCTTGTCGCGGAAGGTCTGCACGTAGCGGTCCACCAGCAGGGCGTGGATGCGCACCCGGATGGCGTGCTGGCGGATGAAGGCAATCTTGTTCTCCAGGCGGTTCTCGATCACCTGGTTGAGGTCCTCCAGCAGGGAGATCTCCTCGCGCTTGAAGAGCTCCCGGCTGGTGTCCTGCGCGTAGTCGTAGGGCCAGAAGGAGCTGACGTACACGCGGGGGGGCTCGGTCACGTTGATCAGCGGCGCCAGGCTCCAGAAGAGGGCGCCGTAGACGCGCATGAGGTCCTGGGTGGCCAGACTGTCGGCCTTGTTGAGGATGATGCGGATCTGCGACTCCCGGCCCTTCAGCTGCCGGAACAGCATCTCCAGTTCCAGCCCCACGTCCAGCTTAGTGGGGTCAAAGACCACGAAAATGAGGTCCGCCCGGTCAATGAACCACTGGCACACGTCGTTGAAGGGATAGCCTTTAGCGCAAGAAGAGAAAGGACTGGTGAGGGCCTGAGGATCTCCGCCACACCCTCTTAGACATTCGGCACTGAAGCAGGAACCACGATTGTTCTGCCATCCAGTTATTAGAGTATATCCCCAACAGCCAGAATGATCTGATTAACTCCAGACGTAAACAGCTCAGATGTGCCATGCATTCACTATTTCATTCACAGACGATGTAGAAGAGTCACAGATTGACATCCTAATGCATGCCATTTTACTACAGACATTCAGTCGAAAACTTGTTTCAGAAGGAATGGGGGTGTTTCACTGACGGAGCTCCTAGTCATCCATTCGAGGTAGAGAAGCAGCACGGGATCAGCTCAATAAGGGTTATCTAATTTCCCCACTTATAGTGAGAAGTTCTAAGAGCCCTACCACATTAAAATGTCATCTTTTGCCAAGCACATCGCATCCTGCCCGATGTACAAACTCATACTGGCACACATGGCTGTACTGGATCTGCTGTATGCTGGGTCTGCTTATATTAAAGGGGAACTGCCGTCCCAATTTCTCCGACCGGCTGTTAAGTCTTGGTAACAAAAGACATTCATTGACAGTATCTAAAAAATCCCATTTCAAATTAAGGACAAAATCGTCAATTTTGTGAAAGTGCTGCATGGTCGACGCTGTTGTTGCAAACCCCTGGTCTCGCCCTGGGCAGGAGCGAGAGCACACGAGCACTGTGACGTGATGCGGCCCTTCCTGCTCACTAGTCCCTGTAATGACTGATGTACTGTGACGGACAAGCTAATGGGTGCAGGTTGTGCAGCAGACATTTCACCACAGAAATGTTCCAACATGATCTGCGGGCAGTATTTGTCTGCAAAACCCTCCTGCTGTCGAAAGCAGTGTTCCTATTGGATTAAAAGTGATGTATTTACAGACCTGCTTCTTTACAATGCAAAAGGGCCGTAACACATTACCGGAAGTTTTGATTCTTGTTCTGAATCGCAGAATATGGCACCGCGCATCCCTGGTAATTTCCTCTATTTTGTTTTACAAGTTATTGTGTGCATTTTACTTTTAATATGGTTTGAAATGTACTCAGTGTTGATTCTTTCGAACCTCAAAATCTACAAATAGTATTGCAATTCCCCCTTTAATGAATAAAGTCTCTGTAAACACCCTCAGGGTAAGGCGAAGGCCACAGTGACTTGGGGCCCATCAGTACCTCTCTCCTGCTGCTTGCGGTTCTCGATGATGCCAGGGGTGTCGACGAAGGTGACTCTCTCCAGCAGTTTATGGGGCATCTCGATGCCCACCAGCTTCTCCAGGAAGTTCTGCCCGAACTTCTCCAGCGGGGAGAAGGAGCGGGAGCTATCGGCCGCCATGACGATGCCCTCAACCGAGCGGATCTTCTCGCCGTGCATAATGACGGTGAATTCGGAGGTGGTGGGTTCGGCCCCTGTAGAAACACACCAGAGCCTTTCTGAGCGTCAAGGCTGTAAGCAGGGCCCGAGGTCTTTGCCCCATCACGTTACAAGGGTCCTTCAGTAAATGTGAGAGCAAGTTTGTCCACAGAAGGGGAACAAATGAAAATCAAGCCATGCCAGGAAGGTCACAGCGCTTGCATAAAGCAGAGATCTCTCGCGTGCCAAGGCCATCATTGTTACTCTTGGCCTTCATGAGCCGGCGTGCACCATCAATGCTGTATTTGAATCAGGAAGTAGGAAAGTTCTCAATTTAAGCACACCTCTGTTCAGGCAGAATCCTCTGTGTATCTGACTTGCCAGCAACTTGGCACCAAAACGGACGATGCGTTCAGAAGTGACACAGGAAATAACACAGGTGTAACACAGCAAGACGATACGTTTGAATAAGAGCTGATGCTTGACACAACACTAGCGACAACTGAAGAGTTGGTACTCTGGTACCAACACAAAGCACAAAGGAACATAGGCAGAGGATTTTATTGCAGAGATCTCAGAAATGTTGGATTGAAAGTTGAGGAATTATTAATAGAAAAAGAAGATACTCTGTGTGGACCTTTTGTTATCATAAAGTATGTGTATCAGCAAGGTTTTCCTTAATAACCTAACTGACTGCTCAGTTATTGTAGAATACCTTCTTTTGCTTTTTTTGTCATACTTTTTTGAGACGATAAGACTGTAGGGAAGTATAACAAAGCTAGCTGGCTGTGAGCTGGTGTATTACGAAAGGAAGATTTGAATGAGCGAAGGGGAAACAGTCGCACAACTATTGTCACACAACAATGTTATAGGCGATAGGTCAGAGGCACATCCATCGAATGCTTGTGATTTTTGGCACATTTTAGATTCAGTTGGGAAATGGGTCAACCATTTTGGTGATTACCATGTTGAGATGTAGTCTTCACTGCTCAGTATTAGTCATCTGGTGAAACTGAAAGTAAAACCGCCCTTTGCAAGCAGTTGTTTACTGTGTAAATACAATGGAAAGGCACGTGGAGACCAGAATCTTGTGTAAATTCTCTTGTTGTCCTAGCATTTATGTCAGTTGTGCAAATTTGCTCCACTACCAGTGTACATACGACTGTTAAATGGGTAAATTTATTCTTTAGAGCCCATGTTTGTGAAGCTTTTCCAACCATATTACCTTTTGCTTGAGAAGGGGGAAAAGAACAAACTGATAGAAGAAATGTTTGAACAGGCTTCAGGGACTCTAAAATGACAGTAGGGTCGATAAACCTGCATTATTGGCAACAAGAAAAGCAGGTGTAGGCACCATTTTCAGGCTCTGCCTGAATATTCCCCAATGTGTGTAAATGTATTATTTGTGCTAGTTCCATATTAATATGTAATGACTCATTCGCGTTGGTGCCATGGCTCTGAGGAAGATTCCTGGGATCCTGTAGGAATCCAGCAAAGGAGATCTTCGGATCAATCACTCCTGGCTCCTTGCCCCTTGTGTTGGAAATCCCTCCCGCCCTCCCTGCTCACCTGTGTATAGCTGGTAAGGAGTTTCCTGCAGCCCCAGCAGGTAGTTAATCATGGAGGACTTGCCGACACTCCAGGGACCCAGGAACAGCACCATGGGCTTGGAGGTGATCTCCCCGTCTGAGCGAGAGGAAGAGGAGAAAGACTGTTATAGCCGCAGTACGGGACCGGGGGCACCCCGAGATTGGAGAAATGAGCATTGTGTCTCAAGGGGAAGCTGAACAGGATGGACACAGAATAAGACGAGGTACTATAGAATTGAACAGGTGTAGAAACAGCACCGCTGTTTCTATCATCCCACTGTCATCTACAAGCTGTCTTGTTACAGTGTGTGGGACTCAGTCTTTACAATATTGCCCGCTGCTGTTTGCTCCACGGGGAAATGTACCGATATGAATCAGAACAGCAGTTCTGAAGACTGAAGTTGCCAGAATGAGAAATGGAATGCTACATAACCTTTTTTTGTCTGAAAATCAAAGCCGCTAAATAAAAGAATGATGAATGTAAATGTAGATGAATGTGTTCTGATATACTTTAGGATTTTGCCAAGCAAGCCCATTCATCTACTCCGTTGAACATTGTGAACTGTTTAATTTATGATGAAGAGAGCTGCTTAATTAAGCAGCTGTCTTTACTAAAGATCTGCATTGGAAATGGAGTTGAAGGTCCACTGTTGCCTGGCTAGAACCCAACCTACATATATTTATATACAGTACAGTCCCAGGTAAGGGAAATAGACCTTTGCAATATACATATTTATATATACTGGGTGATTTAACACATGAACAGAAGTTCATGCTAAGCAGTGCTTTCAGCCAGACCAAAGCAGCAGAATATTGCAGCAGCAGTTTGCAATCACAGGGGCTGGATTTCGGGTGGGGTGGGGTGGTGGGCAAGAAATAATTTGCTATTTGTTTTGCATCATTGGGGATACATTAAGTGACGTCTACACTGAGATAAGGGAGAGCAGCAACAGAACAATTGACAGCAAATTGAGCCTCTTTTGGGGGAAAAAAAATGATTTGCTGGAAAAAAGAAAAAAATCTACAAGCATAAGCTCAAGCAAGGAGAGAGGATAAGCGAGGACAAAGCTGTGGAGACTGTAGGACCAGCAGCACTTGTCTGCACAGGGGGTCAGTGTTTGACTGGGCAGGAGTCAAGATCCACAGCACTGATCAGAGCCAAGAGAGAAAACTACAATAAGCAGAGCTGCCAATTTGCACAGATTGGTTCCCCACAGATTTTACTTCCATCACATTAAGCAGGAGCCAGGCAGCCCAGATTGTGCTGATTTCAGGAGGAATGCACAGAGACACCTCATGCAAGCAGCTATCTCAACTTTATTGTAGCTTGTCTCAGCAAGGAGAAGAAATAGCATGAGTTGTGAATGGTCAGAATCAGACAATTCAGAGAGATTTGTTTTTTTTTATCAGTTCACACATGGACGCTCGCACTCATTTCAGACTAAAGAAAAATTGAGGTGAGGGCTGTCCTTTAGGGCAGTGTTTCATTCCTGAGCATCCAGCCATACTAAACTATTTTAAACGGGGCTTAAGCATTTTCAATTCATAAATCGTCGGATTTTAAGAAACAAATCACATGACGATGACCACTATGGCCCGAGTGGTTTCTGGACACAGGATTGTCAGGTCTTTCAAGCTCAATCAGCACAGTCCAAGACGCCGTCTTCCTGCAGTGGGGTAAAATCCAACAGGGAACTAATCCGACCAGGCTTTCCCACTGCTGCCCCCCTGTGGCCACAACAATGTCAGCACCTTGCTCTTCCATTGGCAGTGCGGAAGTGTGGAATTCAGCAGAACTGCGGATTGGCAGAATTCAGGAGGGGAGAGGCACTCTGGCAGCGAGTGACAGTGACTGGGGTTAAAATGTCAGGCAGCGTCATGCGGGGGGGGGGGTGCTTTTATCATACCCACCTGTCGCCGAAGCCCCTAGCGTTCGTCCAGGGTAGGCTGTTAGAGGGTGTGAGCACAGGAGAACAACACAGGAGGAAGAATCAGGCAGAGTGAATGGAGAGATGGATTGAGAGAGAGAGAGAGGAACGATGGGGAAAAAGGTAAACAATCGAGATGGCTGGAGAAGAGGAGCACTTGGTAGAGAGGTACGGGAGAGAGGAGACTCGCGTGTCTCAGTCGCTAAGGAATGAAAAGTGAGAAACACAAGGCCACTCTGGGGCCCTTTTCAGAGAGAGAGTGGACAGGCGAAGAGACAGACAGGCAGAGATGGATGTCGACAACACAAAACACAGAAAACCACATCTAGGCAAACTGTCGAATGCATCTGGGGTTAATCTGGGGGAGGGGAGGGTTAGTCTCTCCAGCTGGTGCTGCGTCTTGCAGCTCAGCCACAGATGTGTGATTTGTTTAGTTTTTAGTTTCTTCTGTTTACTTCTGATTAGTGCGACAAAGCTCTTTCCATGATTTATCATTTATCATCCCAGCCCTGCATACCACACCTGCACAAGGAGGCTGGAAGGTGAGGATTCAAGCACCAGGCCTTCAAGTGCCGCTGTGACTCAGTTTGTCCTGGCCTATTCACGGCTCCTGGCACAAACGCAACTGAACTGTCAGCTTAAAACCAGGCCTACCCACCTAACACAGTACAAAGCTTTAAAACTGTGAACTGGCGAAATGAAGGAACCCTCCTGCTTCCCTCCTGAACTCCAAGAACACAGCAGAGAGAGAGAGCTGTGAATTCGAAGGGCTCCAGAGCTGCGTATTTAAGACAGTGAGTGGGAACTGGATCGCCATTTTCAACACCTGAGGCAGATGCGCTGCCGGCTTAGCTAAGAGTCTCGCTCCTTGAGGCAACCGACGGAGTAAATGTCGGTTTTAAGTTGGTCCCTTCACTAACTACTTCAGCTAAAATCTTCCTTCAGCAGCTCACTCGTGGGCCCAGACCGTTTCAGATTCCGTCTGCAATCCTGGCGTCTGTTCTGTGGCTTTAGCAGGAGCTGTGGTCAGGCTGGGATCTCCAACTCATACAGGAACACGTAACATCACACAGGTATGTACTGTATAACGGACAACTTTCCTTCTTATCTCAAATATAGATGTTTTTCTAAAAAAACAACCAGGGCACTAATCCACAAATCCCCACGCTTTTTAATCCCACTACCTGAAAACAGTTGCTTGATTCCCAGTTTTTGCAGCGTGCTTTTCAGAGTAAAAATAAAAAATTCTTGCCATATATTTAATTTCCTAACTGCTGGATGGTTATATTTCATCTGATACCTTTGATGAATTTTAGGTTTCAATCCTTTACATTTATAATATAGTGGGCTGTATGTTCAGTCCTATCCTCTATGTCCATAGAATTCAGTCCTACTACCACGTTCTGCCTGCAGATGGCAAACTGTTTCAATAATAGTCTTATGGTGTTATGTGAAGGTTTCTAATGAGATCTTTTGCAGCATTTTCAAGATCTTTCCTCTAGGTTTACAGCTGTTTCTTGGCCAGAACACAGAATGAGAATGTTTTTGTGAGTGACTTTATTTTCTTATTTCTTCAGCCTCATGCTATAACTGTCAGTGCAACACGCTGGGTAATACTTCTGATTTGCTCTTCCATCCTTCCTGGGAGAGTGTGTGGTATAAATGTGTAGTCCCATGGGGCTAAAGATGGCCCACCAAGGGTTCTGCCTAATTTTAGTTTAGAGCTGTAGCTGACGAAAAGAGTGAGACCTCTGTCTTCACTGCCCTGTCTCCTGTCCCCAGTCCCTGTGTCATCGCCTGCTCTGTCTCCTCGGGACATTCTGCAGCGCTGTGCCAGGGAAGTGACAACACTCCTCTGGGCACCTGCTCTTTGTAGGGAGAAGTGGGCACTTAGTCGCACTCCAGGGCTGACAAGAGCCCAGCAGTACCAGCTAAGCCCCTGTGTCCTCCTTCCAGAGGACAAGGGAGGACAGCCGAAGACCTGCAGTGCTTATCAAAGCAGTCCGCAGTCTAAAATACCATGGCTCGGCATGATGTACTGTATGGATTAACAAAGCTGGGGAAAGAGAGGGTTCAACAGTCTAAGCAACAAAACTCCCAGCCAAATGCTTTTATACTGAACAAGGGCATCTGTTATTCTAGGCAGTGATGCAGGGACTTCGGATTGGAAAGGGAGTAGTTAAGGACGAGATTCTCAGTTGCTTTCCTTGGCTCTTTGAGCCCAATGGGTTGTGAGAATATGGAACAAGCTACCCAAAAGTATGGTAGAAGCAGATACCCTGGCTTCTTTCAAGAAGAGGCTAGATGAGATCGTTAGTTCAGTAATCTACTAACTACCACACGGGCCAGATGAGAGGACTGGCCTTCTCTTCCATTTTTGTTCCGTGGATTTTCCTGGGGCTCTTCTGTGATTCGGCGTGAGATATCAAGGGAAGTAAAAAGCCAGCTCTAACTATGGTCACATGTCTGGTGAAAATGAGGCTTTTCGGCTCAGTCTGAAAAGCACCAGGGACGAGACAGCACGAGCTGCAGCTCTACAGAAATGTCTGGAAGCCTTAATTGCTTTCAGATGGGTTGTCCTTTCCGTTCCTAGTTTGTTTTAAACATTTTGCCTTGGTTTTTGAAGCAGCTGTGGAACAGTCTGAGAGAAAACCCCCAGTCACACTGAACACTTCCAGGTAACCAACTCAACCCCAGGACATGTCCAACAAGATCCCTGCTTAGCCCTCACGTTAGCCAAACTGTGGACAGCACCAAACAGACAAAACCCCCATATCAAATGCTTTCTCTGCATATTTATATTTTCTGCAACACACAAATGGGAAAGCATCCGTGCACTTTAGAAACAAAGAATATTAATTATTCTAAACTGCACTGTACTTATGTACACTGCAGTCCACATCTTACTCATTTTGCATTGTTCTGTTTTTTGCGGCTTTTCCCTTTATTTTATTAATTATTTTATTTCCGTTATTTTCAGCTAATAGGCATGTCTGATAGATCTGTATTTTGTAATACAGAAGAAAGTTTTAAGCTCTCTGGATGGAATACATGCTGTTAATGAGTCTGACTGGTAAATGTAATGAATTAGCCACTCTATTCTGTCACATTGACGGCTGACGTATATTTTATTCAGGTTGTTGAAGGTCCCGATGAATGTGGATTAAAGATTGTTAAATGTGCTTGGTCTCCACTCTCAGACTAAGCTATATTAATAACCACTAAAGCCAAAACCACTATTATAACAGTCAACAAAAAACAAGTGGATTCTAATGAAAAAATAAAATGCCAAGACCCCCCCCCCAAAAAGTGCAAAGCCCCCTCAGCTGTGGGAGCACTAAGATTTAGCCTCACAGTGTCCCCTAAAAGACAACTAAATAGAGAGATTCTATTTAGGGTCTATGCACGTTCTCCTGGGCCCAGGAGTTTGACAATTGCTGCTGGAGTGCAGTGTATGCGCCGAGATCTTAGTGTGTGTGGGGTTGGAGGGGTTAGTTTGGCTTCAGTCCTCCCATTCACATGCAGCACAGGAAGGTATGTAGTCAGATCTGCTCTGGGATTTCTCCCCAACGGATTGGAGCAGGAGGGGGAGACATGGGCCAAGGACAACCTCACTGCTCCGGACAGAGACACACAAAGCAGAGACCATGAGACTCGTGTCTTCCAATGGGTTTACCACGTTCCAGCCATGCCCTGTGAAGGCTTTCGACTGCTTCAGGTGGAGGGGAAGGCTGTGGACAGGGAGCGGATCAAACACAAAGCCGCGGACTCGTACCTGAGATCTCGTGCTGCCTCAGCTCGTTGTACCTGTAAGCCTGCTCCAGGGGCTTGATGGATGAGTGGTAGATTTTGCGGAGGCGCTGGAGAGCCGCTGCAAAGACAGTGAAAGACCACAAGCACATGGGATTCAGGTATCAACATCTGGACACCCTATCCAACAGGAGCCCTGCAGGGTGGAGGGTGACTGAGTCTCGGTCCCGTGAATTCACTCCTGTCCGATTTCTGTCCTTAAAGGGGAACTGCAGTCCCGATGTCTCAGACCAGTTATTAAATCTTGGTTACAGAATAAATTAATTGATGTTAGAGAAAGATTGTACACATTTTGAATTAAGCGCAAAATTGTGAACTTGGTGAAGGTACTGTGAGTTGCCATGTCGTCACAAACACACATCTGAGTTCCCACAAATTGTGACGTGACATGGCCCTTCCTGCTCACTAGTCCTCATAATGACTAATGTATTGTGCCGTACGAGCGAATAAGTACAGGTTGAGCAGCAGACATTTCACCGCAGAAATGTTCCAACGTGATCTGCATGCGGAATTAACAAGCAAGTAATTTTGTTGGCAAAACCGTCTTGAAGTCAAGGGCAAAACATGTATTTTTATTGGATTAAAAGCGATGTATTCTCATGCCTGCTTGTTTACAATGTCACAGAACTACAACACATCACTGGAATGTTTCTTTCCTCATTCTGAATCGGAGAATACTTCAAATATGCTGCGCATACCTGGAAATTCCATCAATTTTGTGATGTAAATTGGAGGTTTTTCAAGTTACGGTGTACATTTGACTTTTATTAAGGTTTAAAATGCACTCATCAAGGCGGATTCTTTCTAACACCAAAATACAGTATAAAAATAGCATTGCAGTTCTCCTTTAAGTAATGGGAACACCTGAGATCTTGTTATGGCAGTTCATTTAGGACTTGTTCATGCCCTGACTAGAAAAATCTATCGCCCCAAGCAAATAAATAATTTGTCTCCAAAGGCTAAGACTAGATTTTTAAATTCTGCACATGAAGTCATGATCACTTTCCACATTACTCAGGAGGGCTGAGTAATGCAATTTTGATATAGCACTTCTGTTGTTTTTATTTGGATTCTCCAATTAACTACTGTGTATGAGGTTGTCTGAGAAAAGTTCTCAAAAGCCTTAATTGAAGGAACAAGAGCTTTCTTTGCTATATCTGCAAGGTGTTTTCTACTCGCAAAGTTTGGGATTTTATTGCACTTACAAAGGAGTTAATAGGTCTAACCTCCAGTGTGTTTAAAAGCTAAAAATAGTCCAATAGTTCAAATTAATCCCATTATATCACCTGCATAACCGAGAGCTGGGCTGGATCAGAACCAGCACCTGTGTGGCTCTCGTGGAGCAGGACTGGGAACCTCTGCCCCAGAGCACACAGCAGTTACAGGTGCTGAAAATACTCAAACAGCCACGTTTCAACATCCAAGTTCCTAGGATGCTTGATTGCTTGTTAATGCTTTGTCTTTGTACGGTGACATTCACGGAGTGCCACAGCCACAATAAGGATGAGTTTTTCTTTACAGTTCCTACAGATTGCAGTTACACCGTCCTCTCAGCCATCTCACTAGACATTCCAAGCATTTCAAGCAGACATTCACAAGAGCTCACTGAACATCCTCCTCCCTCTTCCAGGGTTTCTGAAAAGATGGAGCCTGTGGTCTCCCAGCCCCGCTCCCACCCCACACCCAGCCACAACCCCAGCCCCTCTCCCTGGGCGACAGCAGGGCGGCGACACTGGGTCCTACCTGAGTAGTCATTTGAAGGAGCATCTTCTTTGAGCCTGAGAGTCTGCTCAATGTGAGATCTGTCTCGGAGAACAGGGACCAATACATCCTCCACTTCTTCTGAAGGGCGAAGGAGAGAAAGGACACACAGTAAATATACAAGAATTGCATTTTTTTTTACATTGCCAATCAATGCTGTAGAGGCAGTGTTGCCGGAGGACCCTCAGCAGATGTCCTGAGGAGTTCTTGGGTCATGAACATAGGAGCTTGAAGGGCTGGCCTCCACAACCGTGCAGCTCACCCACACATGGTGGCACAATGAGTCCTGGTGGGACCTGCCTCTGTGAAGCGTTTGGAGAACCTGCTCCCAGTGAGAAGGCACAATGCAAAGTAGAAGCTGACTGGCTGATTGAAGAGGTCAGCTTCTCTGCCTGGTCTAATGGACATGGGCAGGGCAGAGACCTTTGCAAGCCAGGTTCGAAACACCTCAATTAATGAAATGGCAGGAGTCACGAGGGGCTATAACTATATCATAGAGAGCAGTGTAAAACAGTTTTTCTGCTTTATAAGCATTTAAATGAGCAGGCTGTGCTTCAAAAAGTGTTATAAAGGGTGCTAAATGACCTGGCACTGCTGACATTTCAGGAACCTCATCTTAAGTTTACTGCGTGTGGTGGGCATGCTTACTGTGGTATGTACTGTATCTAATGACAAAATGCTCTGATGAATGGTGACAGCATAAAGCAGTAGTGTAGATCTGAAGCAATCTGGAAAGGAATAACAGTCGACAATAGCTTGTAAATCTCACGTCCAAACTATGCCTTCAATTTTCTGGTGTTATGACAGGAGGAGAAGTGCACCTTATAAATCAGTGGTAAGAAATGACTGTTAACAGAGAGCAATTGGCCTTTGAAGGCCTTATGGTAAGCACTTTGGAGCTGGTTTATTTACGGCGCAAGGTTATTCTTGAGGAACAAGCAGCAATACAGTAGATATCATGTGTCTACCACAAATAGCTCAGCATAATAACGCACGACCACATCGTTCACTTTGGACGGGCAGTTAAATATAGGCATTTTGGCCAAACTCGTTCTTCAATTTCTGTCTCAGAGCTACAAATGTGGTGGATGTCTTGACTCATTGTAATTCTGTAGGATGCATAATTTTAAAACAATTAAAAGCATTTTGCATTTAAATAGCAACTATCACTTCAATCCTGAAACACTTCTTCTCACAGGTGGTGACAGACAGCAACCACTCTGTATCACCACTGTAACCACACAACAGACAAGGAACAACAGAGAAAGTATTTAGCCAGTGAAATTAAGGAGGGAATCAAGGAGAATTCTGAGAGAGCCCCCAGTGGAAATTAGGCAAGGACAAGAAACCATTCTCTCTTGAAAGGTGTCTAGGGATCTCTATGAATTCATTGCTGTACTGAAAATGATTTTCCAGGTTTCTTTCAACAATGCTTTTTGTCCTGATGATTTTGGCAAAACGTCTTAGTCTTAAAAACGCTTAGTCTTTGCTGTGCTAGAGAGCATCTTCCCTTCATTGTACAAAAGCAGGCAAGGCTTGAACACGAACAGCATGTTGAATTCTTCACAAATGTCCTTATAGTGGCAGGGCGGAATGTCAGAACACACCATTTCTATTTAACATCAATCGCTTTACTACCAATTTGGATTAAACTAAATCTTTATCATCCATAAACACGGCGAGTTTGGTCAACCAGCCCAAACAGATACAAACAAGGCTGTACCAATACCCATGTATTGTGCTGTAGCACACTTTGCTCTTCGAACATTGTCCAATGTCTGTCCATCACTAGGCCTCCTTCACGAGTAGCCAAGACAATCAGATCTTTGAACTGAGGTACAAAGACAGCCACCATTTGGAGTTTCGGAGGATGAGCTTTATTACAGACACTCACATTATCTGGACTTGTCTCAAATAAGTCAAAGTAAAACAGACTTTTTCCTCAAATGTTTCTCAAGTGCATTACCACTGACTGAGCCTCAGCAGGTTTTATTAGGAATGTGTCCAAAGAAAACACTTTAATGAATGTAGTGTTCAGCAAAAAGGCCCCATTTCACACCAAACCATGAAGGTGGCAAAGTGAGTAATTTCTTCAAATACACAACCAACAAGTTAAGAAATTAAGAAAAAGATTAAGAAAAAGAACAAGATGCTTTGAATCAAAAAGTTGAGAGTCTTCTACCACAAGAAACAATACTTTCAAATCAACAAGCACAAGTGGCACACAGACGTGACCCAGATTTAAGGCACGTTACCACTTTTAACAGCAGAAGGAAACTGCATTGGTCTTCAAAAACATCAAAAACATGAGTATGATTCATGTGAATTCAGCAGAGCCGCCAGAAATGTGTTTTCAGATGTGTTGTCCAGATGACATAAATCACCAATCAAACAAAGCTAAGCAATGCTGTAAGTACATTGATGACTCAGTTAATGAGTTACTAATTAGTTTACCAAAAAGTAAGACTTGTGTCTGATCTGATCTAGATGTAGCTTGTGAAGTACAGGTTTCCCTAATAATTGCAACGATTACTGTAGTCTTTGAGCCAATGAATTTACTCAATTAATCAACACTTACACATGGCTTAAGGGTAATCTACTGTCTATGACCTGCTGACTGTGGCTCTCCAATACCAGGTCTGACCAAACCTGATCTAGACTTTCAGGAAACTATTATTAAATCAGATCTACTGAAGTGACACATGGTCAGCTCAGTCTACTGCAGCATGGTGTCTGAGGCCATGGTGTTGTTTAACAAGAGCAGGTTTCACACCTTTCTCTCCATGTGGCTTGGGGGCCTCTGGTTCTTCAACCTCTTTCTGAGGTGCTGTGGCGTGTTCTTCACCGTCATCCACCTCTGACCTGACATTGTCTCCACGAGGTTCTCCTTCTCCGGCACCCTCCTCCTCTTCTGACTTTTCCTGTAGTTCTTCGCCTTCCCCAGACCCTGAACTGTAAAGCTCCAGTGAAGATTCCTTCTTATCTGCAGTTCCCGCATCTTTGTTCTCTCTTTCTCCTCCTTCTGTAGTGTCCAGCTCATCGCCATGTGTTTCGTTAGCCTTGAATTCAGCAGGTTCTTCAGTCCCTCCTGAAGATCCCAAATCCTCCCCGGGACCTTTATCACTAGCCCCCTCTACAGCTTCTGTTCCTTCTTGATCTTGGTATCCCTCAGAACCTGGGCTATTAGATTCTTGGGACTCACTGGAGCTTACTGAATTTTCCTGCCCAGAATCAAGGCCCTCTCTGTCCCCTTCATTGTCCTCCATTTTGTTTTGCTCTGAAGAAAAAGAAGCAGCTTCGTCTCCTTGGTTTAGCTCTTCTGTTTTATCCAATTCAATTTTTTCAACATTGAGGTTTTCTGCGTCCTCCTCTTGCTCTCCTTGGTGGCCTCCACCCTTTTCCTCCTCCAAGGAACCCTGTAGGTCTTCCTCATCTTGATATCCTAGTTCCTCATACTGAACGAGCACAGTGTGTTCTGCATTCTCCTCAAGTAGCACCTCGCGGGCCGGAAGATCATTCTCCTTCTGTGTGAAATCTGGCTCTGCATCGCGGTTCTCTCCTCTGTTATCCTGCCTTCCATCATCTTGGAATGTCTGCCTACCAGGCTCCAGTTCTGCGGTCTCTTCTTGGTCCTCCCTTTCATCTTCAACCAGCTCTTCCTCTGACTCAAGAGATGCTACAGGGGCTTCACTTGTCTCTGTTTTCTCAACATCTTCTCTCTGGGGGCGAGACTCACTCTCTACCCCATCTGCATCTGTGTATCCTTCAAAGTCCTGTGATTTATCGGCTGAGGATTCATCTTCAAAAGTGTCTCCTTCTGCTCCCTTAGCTCCAGATTCAGCAATGTCTTCATGGGATGTATCAGAACCCCCATCTTCTAAACTTTGTTCTGTCTTCCCACCAGATCCTAAAGATTCTCTGTCTAAGGGGGTACCTTCTCCAGATTCCAATCTGGATTTTGTGTCTTTCAGCTTGGGTTTCACACATGCTTTGCAAATACTCTGCCCAGCCTTGGACTCTGGGAAGGGCAGGTCTTCTTGTGGAGAGGCTGGTTGGCCAAGACCACTGGCGTTGGGCCCGGGGTAACCCGACGGGCTGGTTTTTCTGTCTGCCCCATTGCATGTGCACATAAGCAAGTCTCCGCCATCCTGCTGGAGCTGAAGTCGAACCAGCGACTCATCTTCACTTTTCGTGGGGCTGGGCGTCTCTTCTGCCGGTTCTAAATGATCAGAAAGGTTTCAGTCAGTGTCAGCTGTTCCCTGCATCCCACTCAGGGAGAGCAAGCATGAGACACATTGCCACAGCTGTTAACAGAACACAGGCGCCTACCTTTTTCACTGCAGTTTCATCTCGTTTTAATGCCAATTAAAAAGGCAAATCGGAAGGGCTTTTCTGGAATCAGAAAAAAAAAGTGAGAGGGCCCAAAGAAGAGCTAGCAGATACATCCTGGGGTTGAAGAGAATGTCCTACATGGGCAGGCTGGAAGAACTGCACCTTATTAGTCTTGAAAAGAAAGGACTACAAGGGGATCAGATACAGTAATTCTGAATTCTCAAAGGCATGGACAAAGTCCGCGCAACCGACTACGGAATGAACAGAGAAACACAAACTAGAGGACACAAGTGGGAACCATTTAAAACCGAGAACAGGAAGCACTGCTTTATTCAAAGGGTTTCTGGAGCATGGAAGAAGCCTCTCTGCTGTGCAAGTGCGTGCTTTGCAAAGAGAATAAAACTGTCCTTTATATTTTCATTTGTTTTACCACTACAGAGAAAAAAAAAGTGATCTATTGAACCACTCAGATGAGCTAACTTGCACTGTCAGACGGGGTGCTGTGAAATCTTTATTTTCATGATCTTTTGCCTCCAGGAAATCAAGAAGATAACATTCTTTCATTTGGGTTTAAATCAAACTGATACCCAGCTTAAAATATTGAAAACAAATTACATTCTTAAATCTATTTTGAAATAAATCTTACTCAGCTTGAGGGACTTTCGGTGAGCCTCAAAACCACATGGTTGTGCCACAAGAGTTATTACTCCTTGTCACTGAAACCTGAGACACAATCTACCTTTTTTTCTTATGCTGTAAGTGTCAGATTGTACCTCATGTTACCCACTCATCTAGGTGGAGTTGCCCTTTTTCCCCCCCACCAAGAGAAGGTGGATTGATTAAAGACCAAATCATCCATCCATAACTGATTCATCCAGTTCAAGGTAGCAGGGGAGTCGGAGCCTATTCTGGCAAACAATGGGAGCAAGGCGGGGTATACCCTGGACAGGACACCAGTTCATCACAGGGCACACAAACACACAC